ACATAAGCCATATGGTTTAAAGCAGAGAAATAATAGTCTGGAATGTAAGCTTATAACCTTTATATAAACGATATATAAAACTTATATGCTGATCAGGGAAGCATGAATCGAACAGAATCTAATTGAATTTATACTAACCTTTATTTATTTTATACTAAGTTAGATAAAGTAATTCCACCTGTAGTTCTCTTAGAATTACTGCCAGTTCCAAGCTCAGGTAAAGAAGGAGGGTCTGGGATGCAGTCTGCAACTCCATTCCGTAGAAAAAAATCTTGCTAAAAAAACGCCAACGAGATTAAACAAATAAGTTATATAAGATGGAACTTAGAGATAGGCAACAACTAAGATGTTTAGTTTGTTAGATTTTCAGAATATATTAGAATTGTAATATGCATATACGTTGGGATTTTGAATAGCTTTGATGCTTTGACTCACTTGTTAATGTTGCCTAGTTTATTAGAGTGAACAAGTTTAATTCCAAGTGCTATAAATCTATTAAATTTGATCGGTGGTATTCGATTGACACTAATGAGTGGACTTACAAACATAGAATGGATTTATTCAGTGATCGATAGTGAAAGGTCAATATATAGGAAGGTTACTGTTGAACACACACACAGTTATACTTACATAATAATAGGAATAGACTTCATAATTTCTGTTCAAGTTTGTGACGGATTATGTAAATCAGCGTTTAATGACACTTATTCAAAGTAATATATTTGACTAAGTAATTGCTGAAGGGTTGTGCAAGATCATAGATTGATTGGAGTTAGACATAAATACTATTAGATTCCGGCTCAGTAGTCTACAAGTTAAGCATTCACGCGCGAGATCGAAGGTCCTGGGTCCGAGTTCCGAGTGGGGGCTAGTGGGTGCGTGCTTCTAATGTAACGGCGGTCCAAGGCTTCCAGGTTTTCAGCGGCGGTCTACCTTAGACTAATAATATTTACATATATTTATATATATTTATATATATATTTATATATTTAAATTTGAATAATTATTCAATTTATGAAAAAAAAATACTCATCATTTTTGGGGGGTCGTAGATTCAACAAATGAAGACTAGTTAGTATACAGTAGTGCCAACTAATTGTTCAATTAATATCAATTTAACCTTTGTATATGCAATAAACTTAACAAAATTTGGATAGAACTAGAAAGGAAGGCCCAGGACAGAGTGCGTTGGAGAATGTTGGTCGGCGGTCTATGCTTTATGGGGGGGGTTACAGGCGTAAGTAAGTGAGTGAGTAAGTGAGTAACTAAGTAAGTAAATAAGTAAGTAAGTAAGCGTTAGGGGTGGCCAAACCAAAACGTGGCATCAGAGCATGAAGTCACTAACTTCTAGTCTGAGCCATGTTGGTAGATGCAGACTACCTGGTTGGACTCCACGTGACTATCGTAACCAATGGTTGGAGACTCTAGGTGACATGGCTCAGAATCGATCACAATGGCGTAGGTGTGTACACTCTTTATCTTCCTTTAAACCTTAAGATTAAAACTGCTTCATAACTTTCTTCCTTCCTATACTAAATCCTTATATACAACCTATCTTTTATATACTACCACCATTAAATTAACTACTTCTATGAATCCGGTGTTCATCTTGTTGTGCTAACGAGGTATGACAACTTGGATCGATGCATATATTTACCTGATCCTACGTTGTAGCTGAAGTAAGTAAGTAAGTAAACAACTAAATAAATAAGTAATATTCAATAAATATCTCCACTATCAGTTATTAAATGAATATTAACAATTTTCACACTTTCTAAACTATTCTATACATATGGAATAAGATAGTAACCATATTTGACTAAAAGTCAGGCACAATAACTAACAATTATCACCAGGTGGAGTATTGAACATTGAACATTAAACCATTCCAGTCTGTAAGCTAAATTATCTAGAAAGAAATAGAGAGTATGAGAGATTAGAAGTGAAGGAGACTAATGTTAAGGTTTATCAATTGAATAGTCATAATGTTTTTCATTGAAAAATAATCCTAATGTGATTTGAAATGGTTTCTATATTGTTCAATGTTAAATGATATGGGAAGAAGATGGTGATGATTCATAATTTTTCAGGGTATAAATGCATGTATGTATGTAAACATTTATAGTCATATTAAGATGAATGCAAAGACAGATGTGTAATATTAGTTTGTATTGTTTAAAATATTTTTCAATGCAAATGAGTAACAGCAAATGGGGTTAATTTATGAAATATACAACTGTGTCTGTTGTCAGGCGGTTACAAGCTGAAGACAATAGTGGATGGTGGCGAAATATCGTGGCCGTCTTAGAGGTCTAGAGGTGAATGCTTGCTCACGAGACCGATAAGTCCTGGATTCGAGTAGTGAATGTAGGATCGTGGATACGCACTGCTAAGGGATCCCATACTAGGACGAAACGGTCGTCCAGTGCTTCCAGATTATATATATATACTCAAACCATCAGCAACAGTCTGCTGTAGGAGTGAACAAATAAACTTCCAGATGAAGAGGAAATTAAGAAAAGATGTTGGAAATGGATAGGACATACATTACGGAAATCATCAAACTACAACACGAAGCAAGCCCTAAGTTGGAATCCTGAAGGGTAACTCAAAAGAGGATGGCTGAAGAATACACTATGTCGAGAATTAGAAGCAGCTATGAAAAGAATGAATAGCAACTACAGCCAACTAAAAAAGATTACCCAGGATAGAGTTTAATGGAGAATGCTGGTGGTCGGCCTATGCTCCTTTACAAGGGGTAACAGATATAAGTATGTAAGTAGCTAGGTAGTTAGTTAATTAGTAGTCAAGTATAAAATTTTAAAGGAATAGAATAGTAAACGTTCGTATTTAGGAAGATACTGATAAACAGTTTTATGCGTTTTTACAAACTATAAAAACTAAATGAAGATAAAAGTATTTTTCATAACTACAGTTGTTGACTAATTTAATTGTAGTCAACAGGTTATCAGTGGTCATTGAAACTTTTAGGGGAATATATTTGAAGCTGAGTCATCACACATATGCATAGACGATTTTATGATTATTTCAGTAGTATTGTTTGTCATAAACTTAATGTAGTTGGGTAATCAGTAAATCTGATAACGATCATCTAAACTAATAATAGTTTCTCAGTCTCTACACTCAAACACCATTTAATACCGAGTTAGTGGTCTAGAAGTGAAGCGTTCGTGCTAGATACCTAAGGTTCTGGGTTCAAATCCCGCATGGAGAATCGTGGGTGCTCACGGCTGAGGAGTCCAATATTAAGACGAAATGGAGGGCCAGAGGTTCCAGTTTCTCAGTGGTGGTCTGACATTAATCGCTTCATGATTCCATTCTAAAACTTAACAATCTCCACAACTCCATACTGATAAATTTGAACTAATTTCACTTTTACATATCAAACGATTTATCGTTCTTTGACAAACTATTTCTCAATTACTAAAGATGTTAATATTTAAGCAAATCTCGAATTAGTGGAGATTGTATACACTATAGCAACTATCCTACAACCAATTTCGACTATGGTTAATTTTGGTTAAGCCCTTTTATTAACTTACATCATAGAGATTGTCATTTGGATAGTAACAATTTGCACATTATCTTTGTACTGTTATGATCACTAGAGCACACGACAGACTCTAGCCAAAACTTTGATTACCTAAATATCATTCTAGACTCATCCTCTTCTCCATATATGTATGCACGCAATTCCTATTATCAGCTTTTGCTTTATTTTGCGGCGCCCTTATACAATTTGACTATAAATTTGCCTATGTAATTGCTTGCCCTTTCTCGCTCATACTTACTCATGTGCTTGTAGCATTGTGGCCTGAGTTATTCGATAATAAACTGTACTTGCAGCTTCACTTTGCCTTCTGATTTTATGCACCGTTAAGATTTGTATTATAACGGTTATCGAGGTGAAAGATTAGCGAAGCATTGCACTACAACACTTTAAAAAAAAGCAAGATGATACAATGAATTTACTATCTCATACAAACATAGTTTGTTTGTATTTAAGCAGAGATGAATAACGTTTAGTCATGGAATCAAAGAAGTTCGTTCCATCTTATTTGTCATTCATTATCTTAATGTATCAAATAGTACAAAATGGCAGTCCTCAATTCTACTTCTAGATACTGTTCATCTCTGTTTAAACATATTTTTGACCAACTTCATAGGTAAATATTCCTTAATCAAACCAACGTAAATATGCTTCTCTTGCTTTGCCGATCCGCGACTTCACATCGGATCTGATGCTGATGTGAAGGCGCTGATCGGCAAAGTAACAGCAGTATATTTACAACTGAAGAACATCTGGAACTCAAAGCAATTGTCAACCAACACCAAGATCAGAATTTTCAAAACAAATATCAAGGCAGTTCCATTTTACGTGGCGGAAACTTGGAGAAGTACTAAAACTATCATCCATAAGATACAGATATTTATTGACAGTTGTCTACATAAAATATTTAAAATTCATTAGCTAGACACTATGAGCAACAACCTACTGTGGGAGAAAACAAACCAGATTTCAGTGGGGGAAGAAATCAGGAAAAAGCGTTGAAAATGGATACGACACACATTGAGAAAAGCACCCAACTGAGCCACAAGGCAAGCTCTCACATGGAATCCTGAATGCCAAAGAAGAAGAGGAAGACCAAAGAGCACATTACGCCGAGAAATGGGGACAGATATGAGAAGAATGTACAAGAATATGATAGAACTAGAAAGGAAGGCATAAGACAAAGTGAGTTTGAGAATGCTGGTCGGCGGCCTATGCTCCATTGGGAGTAACAGGCGTAAGTAAATACAAGGTTACATGTTATAACAATTACCTTCTTTCTTCTTTTTAAATAAAATTTAATAAAATTCAAACTTCATGTTAAACTACATCGTCTAAAAAATTAAAAAAAAAGGAAAAAAGAAAAAAAAGATCTGACTGTTAGAAAACATAAAATCTTGATTATCCATAATAGAAATGGAGAGTAATAATGTCAGCAACACCATCATCATCATCACCATCATCATCATCATCATCATCATCATCATCATCATCATCATCATCATCATCATCATCATCATCATCATCATCATCATCATCATCATCATCATCATCATCATCATCATCATCATCATCATCATCATCATCATCATCATCATCATCATCATCATCATCATCATCATCATCATCATCATCATCATCATCATCATCATCATCATCATCATCATCATCATCATCATCATCATCATCATCATCATCATCATCATCATCATCATCATCATCATCATCATCATCATCATCATCACCCATCACTATCCGTCATCTATCCCCATTTCATTATACTACTGTCTATCACAAAAAATACAGTTAAGTATAAAGTAAATTTGACAGATACACATTTTAATAATTTTGTATTATTACTACGACTACTACTGTTAGTTAAATATCATTATGAATGTTTATTGCTTGTTGGTTTACTTTTTTTCTTTTTCTCTTTTTTGTTTTCCTTTTTATGTTTTTTTTCTTTTTGATCATGTTTTTTTGTAAGTGAAAAGAAATGATTAGATAAGAGGTAAACGAATATGAATTCGGTAAACAGCATGTTGTCAAGTAATATAAATGTAACCATACTCTATGCACATTTATTGATATTGACCACATTATGGCTAATCGGTTGATGGATGCAATACATGTACATTCATATACATTCATTAATCAGTGCACAAATCAACCAAGCTGAAGGTAGACAGTGAGGGGATTGAATCAACTATGTAACAAATAATACAGTTGATGAACACATACTACTTAAATATGAAATGTTTTTAATAGATTAATAGTAATAGATAATTCAATATTTAATTTAAGCACGAATTTAGATAAAAGAAGAAGAAGAAAACGAAAAAAAAGAGAAGTAAAATCTAGAAACTACTGAATAACACTGACACATAGGTTTGATTACTTACTTACTTATGGCTGTTGTCCCCAATGGAGCATAGGCCACCGATCAGCATTCTCAAACACACTTTATCCTCCACCTTCCTTTCTAGTTCTATCCAACTTTTGTTCATTCTTCTCATATATGTCTCTAGTTTTCAGCGTAATGTGCTCTTTGGTCTTCCTCTTCTCCTTTGGCCTTCAGGATTATATGTGAGGGCTTGTCTTGTGAAGCAGTTTGGTGTGTAGCCTTTTTCCTCTATCAATATATAACATAATGATACTGTCAATTAGAGTACAGTGAATCATAGACTGGATCAATGACACACGAAACCTGTACGAGCAGTCTAGAGTACTTATCGGTCCTTCTTCCTGCCTAGCAGCGCCTGTTGAGTTCAGAACATCAATCTTAGCCTCTGCGATATGAATCATTTATTTTAAAGATGCTGAGTTTATATACAAACCAAACAGACCACATCACACCTTAAAATGGAAAACAACATCTGTACAAGATTTAGCCAAAAGTGACTGTGAATATGGGAGACTGCAATTAATTGACTGGGCATAGCTCAAGAACGGTAAATCGTATAGTAATAGTCTATGGGTCAAAATACAGCTTATAGTAAAAGGAACATGAATATGAATAGTTTAGTTACTTAACCATCATACAATAAAAATTTATGTATGGTATTGGTCCATAAATAGGTCTCGAGTTTATTTACTTAGAATAATTTTTTTCGGTTAATGTTTTTTTAGCGAGTTGGTTTTCTACTGGATGGGGTGGCTAACCCCATGCCCAACCCTTCTCCTTCACCCGGGTTTGGGACCGGCAGTAGCCTCCAGAGGAGCTACAGGCGGAGTTAGTTCTCATAATTGGAAGTTGTCGTTGGGATATAACAGTAATTTAGCGAAGAAAATTTTCTTTTCGATGATATCATTTCGTTAATTAGCTATACAATCATATTTATAATTCATTTTACTTGCTAAAATAATAATCTATAGTGAGATAGAATGGTGTTGAATATTTTAAATAAACTTGAAGGAGTATCTTGTTGCTTACGAAAATCAGATCACAATTGATTGATCACTGGATAGTGAACAATGTCATGCGTGTCAAGTCCGTATTACTGCTGATCAAATGCTATCAATCAAGTTGCAATGTAGCCATTAGTCTAGGTGACTCGACACTGCGTGCACTATGTTGACATAAGATGGTGGTTGGAGGTTATGTTATAGTGATAAAGTAATGTAATAATTAGCTAGTAAATCGTGACATGGTGAAGATAATTGTCTAGTTCGTAGTTATGAAGAATAGATTAATTGAAAGTTGTAATGACGGCTAATTTATAATTATGAAAATATTTGGAGAGTAGTAGCAATAATAACTTCTTCTTTAAAAAGACGTGATGATGGAAGATAGAAAAAAAGCTTAAGGACATGAAGTGATAATGAATTAAACAAGCTTAAGGTCAGGCTTGAACTGATGGATAGCAATAGCCTTGGCTATGTATAAGTTTTTCATTTGCATTACTATTGAACTAACTCTTCTGACTGTATGTATGATTTTGAAGTAGTTTTGTGGTAAAGATGAGTGACCAGAATCGACTAGATGCTCCAAAATTGAGCTTTTGACTTACTTTTGTTATCGTTTAGAGAGCCAAACGGGGTAATGTTTGGAGATGTGTTTCGAAAGAGCTCGCTTTGTTCCACTAATATAATGGGTCTCTTTCGTAATTTAAGTTTTATTTGTTATTTAATTGTATGTATCATTAGTCAATTTCATGCAGTCAATTGATGTCAGACCACCATCAAAAACCTGGAAGCACTGGACGGTCGTTTTGTCGCGAGATGTGAACCCAGGACCTATCAGTTTCACGCGCGAGCACTTAAACTCTAGAACTACTGAGCCGGCATCCAACGGTGTTAATATCTAACTTCAACCAATCTACGAAATTGAGCCACCGTGCACCATTGTCTTTAGTGAGTTGATATCTCACAACAGACCCGGTTGAACTCCTTTAGTCACTGCTTCCCACTAGAACTCCAGGAAATATCTCTTGAAGACAGTCACTAGTGAGCATATGTTGATTATTATCAGAAGGGGTTTTGTGAAGATTTTAGTAAATTTATAGTTCAAATCATGAGTCAATTAAAGCTAGACTATCATGGAAAACCTGGTGATTAATAATGACCAACTATGAGAGGTAATTCTACGATGTGAAAGCCACGTACAGTGAAGCTCAAATATCCCAGATATCAAATAGATATTAATAATGTCAATATATTATGTTCACTGAAAGCTTTGAACTGACTGAAGTTAAAATGCAAACAATCAGATATCAACTCAATAGTCTATTAGGACTCAGTATCTTAGTGGTGTTTGAAGTGGTCGATACTGACTTCCAGTTCCAGAGTGAACATCAACTCTGAGATGCAGGTACATCCAGCTGACAAGTCCGAATTGGACGAAACGCGTGTCCAGGATTCCACTGCTAGCCACTATCCATCATTGCTTATAAAGCTTGTGAGTTAAGGCAATATCGAGGCAGTCCGCACAGAATGCACATATGTAAACAAGAGACTGATTAATTGCAGTCCCGAATAACAATGAGAAGATACAAGTTAACAACACTATGTGAATTTATAATCAGTGGTCTAAATTTCCTACGTTATTGGAGAAACTCGAAGTTACTGAGTTTTTCTCATAATTAGGTTGTACATTTCAATGCAATAGCTACTACTGGCTTTCTGATTATGAACACGTGTTTAAAATAATTCAATCAAAGAATTAGAAGGGGTTTTGTAGAGATTTCAGTATTTTTCAGAGTTGAAACTATTAGTCAATTTGAAGCAAGACCACTATGGGAAACCTGGAAGCACTGGACAGCCATTTCATCCTATCATGGGACTCCTCAGCAGTGTGCATCCACGACCTCGCACTCGCGAGATCCGAACCCAGAACCTACCAGTCTCGCGCCAGATCCCTTAACCGATTGGCCACTGAGCCGGAATCCAACGGTGTTGATGTCTAACTTTAATTGACTCATGGTTTCAACTCTCAAGAATACTGAAATCTCCACAAAACCCCTTGTAATTATAATCATATGCTCACTAGTGACTGACTTCAAAATACATGTGCTGGAGTTCTAGTAAAAAGCAGTGACCAGTAGAGTTCAACTAGGTCTGTTGGGAGAAATCAACTCACTGAAGACAATTAGTGAACGGTCAATCAAAGAATTCTTTAACTTATTTAGATCATAGCAACTATTCCAATTTTTTTAAATGTATAAATCTCAGGTAAAGAACTTTTACCCTTTGTTGAATCATCATGTATTTAATTCAAACTTAGACAATTTGATTAATTAAACAGATTACCTGTAATATCAATATGGATAAACATAATTCTATGTATATGATTAATTGATTCTATAACTTAGTTAGTAATAGTTTACCTATTTCATTCATTTAATATTGTTTGCTTGTATTTTTCCATTATTGTTGTTAAAGTCTGCAATGGATCAGTCTCTTGTTGACATATATGTATCCACTGTGCTAACTGCCATCCATCTTTGCTTACCTATTTAATTGTTAATCATTTCATTTGTCTACTTTATCTAGTGAATAATTATCAGAAAGAAATACTACATGTCAACTTATGAATTCCATATGGTTGAAATATAGTTAAATATGATGATGATAGTGAATAGATAGATGTAAATATTTTCTTAAGTTCTTCTTAGTTCTTTTTATCCATTTGTCTGCCCCAAATGCCCTAGTATGGCCGAGAGTGGGGAGAGTTCGTTGTTCCTCTCGAAATACTCTCACATAGCCACGCGTATATAGCCTCTGTCAGGGATGTCCTACTCACTGCCTTGTCGTGGCGCCGGTATTGTCTACGAAATTGAGAGGACGAAAAGCGAATGTCGGACTCTCCGATCGGATTGGTGGACACGGAATGTTCACCTAGGGGAGTTGGAAAAGCCTAATTCCAAACCAATGGTTCACATGGGCTCCAGTATCCTGCTGAGGGGATAAATGGTATGTGAATCAATCGTTGGTCACCGGCTACCATGGGACTGTATCTCCTCACGATGCTCCTGCTAGGCCTTGTGTATCAGATCTTTAGGTCAAAGGCTCCGGGTGTAGCTCCCTAAGCAAACCACCTGCTTCAGTTTGGGCACCTGATCAGTATGACAGCCCTCACATAAATCAAATGAGATTTGTGTTGCGTATATATATCTGGTGCTTCCTTGTACCAATATTTATGTTTTTAAATAACTAGATAAAAATAAATAAAAATAGAATATAGATTAACGGTTTAGGTGTATCATGGTAGTAATAAGTTCTTATTAGACTTGAATTCAGTTCTGCTTAGTATTATTTCTGAACATGAATAAGAAATTTCAAAGTGGTACATAACAACTGTCAAATGCATTG